GGCAGAAGAGACACAGGAAGCATCTTTGGCAGGGGATGCAAGGGAGTGGGGGGGGGGGTATGGGCAGAGTTCCGGGAATGGGCCAAGGGTGGATCATTGGGTAGATTTAGCCTTTGTTTCTTCCTCCACAGATGACCCGGATCATCCTGCCTCAGATGACAGCCAGGTAGAGGCCCAGGCATCCCCTTCTCCCCATCTCTAGAGCCTGCCTTCCCATCCATATAGACCTCCTGGTCTATCCCACACACCCCACCCCCAGACACTCATTTGCCTTTGATTCCACCATTCTCAGTTTTCTTCTGTAACTCTGCAGGGGACGCGGAGTCATCATCAACATATCCTCTGAGGCTGGCAGACAGCCTTCCCCATTCTTGGCATTATATGGGGCTACTAAGGTAAATGGGGCCCACATCTGAAAGAGGCCAGACTCTTTCAAGTTACCAGTAACAAGAAAGAGGGTCAGGCATCGGAATGGAATGTCCCATGTGGAGCTGAGAACCCTGGGGTGGTGGGAGTGCCCCTTTTGCCCCTGATTCCCTCAAAGTCATTGGGCAGCCAGCTCTCTCAGTTTGAGAGAGCAGAGACTAAACCAGAGAGCAGAGACTAAGACCTTTCACCCCCATTCACCCACTACACCCATGGGTTCAGTCATTTCATAATGGGAGGCCTCATAGAGTAATAAAACCAAACCAGCCAAAGTCTGAGTGCCCCCTTACCAAGTGGAGCCCCAGGAGCCTCCTGGGAGATAGCAATGCAAGCTGACATTCACTTTTGCCTTTGGCACTGAAAAACCTTGCCATATGAGGGAAGGACAGGAGAGATCATTAAGCAAAGATTGAAGTCTTACTAGGATCTGTGATAAGCACTGGGGACATGGGTAAAAGCAAAACAAACAATCTTTGCCCTAGGCTTGGGCAATGGGGTGTGGGGGTTTCATCATTCTGAAATCCAGAAAGTCCTGAGTAGGGTCAGGAGAGGAATAAAAGGGAGCCTGTCTAAGAATCTCCACCAAAAGGAGACTCCAGCTGGAACTGGCCACTGACATCAGGGTAACCACCCTTGCAGAGGAAAATTCCATGGTGAGAAAGCCTGGAGGTTGGAAGGATGCTCTAGACTGAGGAGGCCCCAGGGGCTGAGGAAAGTTTCTAGAGCAGACAGCAAGAAGAGAAGATTTTGAGGTCCAGAAAGTTTAGATCAGGGCTAGGAGGGGAGTGAGATATGAAGGGAGGAGGGACTGGGGGTGCTGCTTGGCCTAGAAGTGTCCTCAAGCACATGACAGTATGTTGGGTGGAAGAAGCTATCATTCTGCTGGGACACAGAGGATGCTTTACATTTTATTTATTAGTAATAAGGAGCCATTAAAAGTTTTCTGAGCAGGGGACTGATGGAGACAGATCTGTGCATAAGCAAGGTGCTCCTCACTAAGGTTTGAAGGATGGATGGGTAGAGAGAAAGAGTGGACCTAGGAACACCTGTGAGGAGGCTGTTCTGATGCACTAAACAGGTGGTGGTGAGAGCTGGAACCACAGTAGAGGCCCTAGAAAGAGAGGAGGGGATAGGAAAGGTACCAGGGATATGGACTCCACAAGACCTGGTCACTGACTGGATCCTAGCAGGGGAAAGAGGGAAGGAGCAAAGCTAACCCTAAGGTCCTTATCAGAGGAGGATGGCTGAATGGTGCTACTAAGGTCAGAAAGAAGGACGGGGTAAAGAAAAAAGGTCATGTCTTGGTTCTGGATGTGCTCCAGGTGGAGGCAACAGGTCAGAAGATCATGGGTGAGACCAGGGCTAAAGGTTGTACTCTGAGAGTCATCGGCACTGAGGTGGTAATAAAACCATGGGAGGGAATGGAGATTGGCTCTGTTCTGTTCTCTCCTTTGGTGTTTGCCACATCAAGATGTGTTGAAGGAACTGGATTGGTCTGGCCAAGAGAAGAGGTGACTGCAGGTGAGGGTGATGTGATAGCTGTCTCCAAGTATTGGAGTGCTGTCATATGGAAAAGGGTTTTGACTTTTTCTGTTTAGGGCAGAAGGAGAGACAATGGTAGAAGTTGCAGAGGCAAATGCAGGCTTGAGGCAGCTGGGTGGCACAGTGGATAGAGCATTAGGCCTGGAGTCAGGAAGACCTGAGTTCAAATCTGGCCTCTGACACTGGCTGTGTGACCCTGGGCGAGTCATTTAACCCTGTTTGCCTCAGTGTCCTCATCTGTCAAATAAGCTGGAGGAGGAAATGGCGAACCACTCCAGCATCTCTGCCAGGAAAACCCCAAAATGGGGTCATGAAGAGTCTGAAACGACTCAATAACAATAAATACAGGCATGATATCAAGAAAAGCTTCCTAACTATCAGAGCTATAAAAAAAATAGAATGAGTTTCCTCTCAAGATAGTAGGTTGCCCCTCACTAAAAGTCGAACTGGATGACCACTGGTCAATTGAATTATGGAAGGGATTCCTCAGGTATGGGATGGACCAGATGCCTTCTATATGGGATGCCTTCTAGCTTGAGGATTCTGGGATTCTGTAACATCCATGTGTCCTGTGGAATCCCTGTCCACTCTGAGATTCTTTGTTCTGTATCCTAAAGGCCCTCCTGGTACTGGAAGTCTATAATCTAAGATACTTTCCAGCTTTAACGTTCTGTGTTCTAAGTCTCCTTCCAGCTCTGACACTCTCCGTTCTAAGCTACCACCCCTGCTCGTAACCCCTCACCCCTACCTCCAGCTCTGATATTCCATATTCTAAGGGCCCTCTCATGCTTCATGTGCTATTTACTCAGTTCTGATGTTTTCTGTTCTAAGGACACTATCAAATCTGACGTTCCCTTCTTTAAGGACTGTCCCAGCTCAGACTTACTATGTTCTAAAGCCATCCCCGATATTCTCTGTTCTGAAGCTCCTCCCTGCTCTGATATTCTTCATTCTAAGGACCCTTCTGGCTCTATTATTCTCTGTTCCAGCCTGACATTCCATGTTCTAAGGTCCCTCTTAGTTTTTTTTAACCTTGTTAATTTAATATAAATACACTGTTGTCTTCTTTTAGGTTTATGTCTTGGTCTTCCCTGCACCATGCCACCTTTTTATGGTCAAGGTTGTTTTTTTTTCCTTTTGTTGTTGTTGTTGTGAGTTGATTTTTCCAGCCTCATTCTTGACTTTGAACTTGACAATAAAGTTGGGTTCTGTTCTCCTGGGGGTAGAGAGGCCCTGTCCCAAGTTTTTGGGTTTTTTGTGCTTTGTTTCCAGAGCTAGTTCTGGGAGTCTGTCAATTTTCAGTGCTTTCAAGGTGGTGTGATCTGGGGAGAGGTGTGGTCACTGCTCTCCTGATCTGCTGTCTGGGCTGGACCCAGGACGGGCTCCTGCTCCCCTACAGTCACAAGCACTACCCCTCTCTTTGCCTTGGAGCTGTGACCAAGGTCCCTGCTCCCTTGTGACTGACCACCAGCACTCCTATCCACTCTAGAACTGCTACCCAGAGCTGTGAATGGGTCATAGAGGTGCCAGTCACCCAGTGCCACCAAAAGGTCCCTTGTAATCTGTTCCTGACCAGTTGTGCAACCCCCCCTTACCATCTGTGTGCTGAGAGCTCTCAAAGCTGCTGCTGCTGCTGCTATCAGCTGCAAGACCACCCATTGGGTGCCCCCATCACACTCTGGGCCTTTGTCCACCCCGAGGTTACAGACCTTTCCTGTTGACCTCCTAAGTTGTCTTAAGCCGGAAAAATGTCTCCCTGTGACCTTTTGTTGGCTTTGCTGCTCCAAAATTTGATTGGAGGCATTATTTTAAAGTTGTTAGCAGGAAATATTGGGAGAATTCGGCTGGGTCCTGGCCTGGAACTCTACTATCTTGACCAGTCCCTCCTAGTTCTGGCATGCTATGCTCTAATGTCCCTCCTGTCCCTCCCATACTCTGTTCTAAAGTCCCTTCCAGCTCTGTCATCCCCTATTCTAAAGTACCCCTCCTCAATATTCCCTGTTTTAAAGTCCCTCCAATCTCTATCATTTCCTCCTCCCAGCTCTAATATTCTTTTTTTTCTGAGCCCTGACCAGATTGCCGGAGACCTCCCACTCTAACACATCCTTTGTGCTGAGGCTCCAGAATTCCTTTGGCTAGAACCTCAGGAAAGGGAACAGTGTCCAGAGGAAGAAGTGGTGGTCACAGAGTGCCAGCAGTGCTGCAGCAAGGACAGGTCTTGCCAAAATAACCTTATTTCCTGTTAGGGCAGGTGCATAAAACTGGCACAGATCAAGGGTGTTCAATAGATAGCATTTACCTGGGTCTCACCGAGGTGTCTGATAATATATCCCATGATGTTGTGGAAAAGAGAGAGATGTGGGCTAGATGGCAGCTTGATTGAGGCCACTAGGGGGCGCCACAGTGCACAGCGTGCTGTGTCTGGAGCTCAGAACCTTACTAGCTACATGACCCTGGGCAAATCACTTAGTCTCTGTTTGCCTCAGTGCTGCCATCTGTAAAATGGGGATGATAATAACACCTACCTCCAAGGGTTGTTCTGAGGATCAAATGAGAAGATAATTGTAAAGCAGTTAGTGAAATGCCTGAAACATAGTAAGCATAACAAAAATGCTAACTATTGTTAGCTCTTAAGTGCAGGAATCTCAAACCACTTGAATGACCAGACACAAAGGATTCCTCATTTATAGTTTGATAATATCACCTTGGAAAGAGGTCTCCTGGAGTGCCACAGGGATCTGTGCTTGGGCTTATTCTGTTGTGTTTTGTTTTGTTTTTTTCCTTAAATCATTCACTTGGATGAAGGCACAGATGAAATGTTTATTCAAATATGTAGTTGCCTCAAAGTTGGGAGGGAAAGGAGAAGGGAATGTGCATTTTTATAGTGTCCACTATGTGTTAGGCACTGTGCTAAGTACCCTACAAAGATTATCTCAATTTGTCCTCACAACAACTTCAGAAGTAGGTGCTGTTATGCATATTTGTAGATGAGGAAACTGAGGCAGATAGAGTTGAAGTGACCTGGCCAGGGTCACAAGCTAGGAAGTGTGTGAGACTGGATGTGAAGCCTGGTCCTTCTGCCTCCAGGTCCAGTGTTCTCTCCAGGTTACTGCGCCCCTGCCCCCCAGCAACAGTGATGACAGAGCCAGGATGCAAAAGGATCATGACAGGCTGGGTGGAGTCTAATAAGATGAAACTATATAGGGATGAATGTAACTTTACATTAGGTGCACAAATCCAGTGTTTTGGTTGGACAACAGTCTATCTGAAAAAGATCTGGAGGTTTCAGTGGATTGCAAGCTCAGTATCTAGTATTACTGTGACCTAGCAGCCAAAAAACTAGTTAGACCTTGGACTTCAGCAACAAGCTGGTGATCAGTAGCATCTCTCTGTACTCTACTCTGGCAGGACCACATCAAGACTTTTGCATTCAATTCTGAGCACTACCCTTTAGAAGAAAACTGGTAGTCTGGAAAACATCCAAAGAAATGCAACCAGGATAGTGAGGGGCCTTGACAACATGCCATATGTGGCCTGTTCACAAAACTGGGAAAGCTTCTTCTGAGCCTCTCAGATGCTTGGACTCCCTTCCCTCCCCCCCCCCAAAAAAACCCAACCTGGCCTTTTGTTGATTTTGATGAGGTTTATTTGGGAATATGGGCACTAGTGGTACAATAGTGCACAGGGGGCTTAGGCTGGAATCAGGAAGACATCTTGAGTTCAAATCTGGCCTCAGACACTAGCTGTGGGACCCTGGGCAAGTCACTACTCCATTTCTCTCAGTTTCCTCATCTGTAAAATGAGCTGGAGAAGGAATGGCAAACTGCTGCAGTATATTTGCCAAGAGTACCCCAAAATGAGGTCATGAAGAATTAGACAGGATTAAAAAATGACTCAACAACAAATATTTAGGGATTTATTTTCTCTCCAGGTAGATTATAAGCTCCTTGAGCCTATGTGAGCAGTAGCAAGAAGGCCAATTCCACTGGTTTCTAGTTTGTGTGGCATAGATAGGAGACGACATAGTGCAGTGGGTAGAGTGCTGTATCCAGAGTCAGAGAAACCTGGGCAAGAACATAGGCAAGAAATAGGTTGTTGAATTGTTTCAGTTGTGCCCAACTCTTCATGACCTCATTTGGAGGGGTCCCTCAGGCAGGGAAGGCTTCCTAGAAGAGTCAGGGTGGGAAGGGGCTAGCCAATCTGGGTCCAGAAACATTGTGGAAAAGCTCAGAGAGGTCAAAGAGCCCTGGGGTCCAGGGTGGTCAGGAAAGACTTCCTAGAAAGGAGAAATCTGACCCAGACTTTGAATGATACAGGAAATTGTCAAAGTCAGTGGAAAAATCCCTCTGTTGTTTTGGGAACCATAGGGCAGCTAGGTGGCACACTATGGTGCCTGGAGTCAGGAAGACTCATCTTCATAAGTTCAAATCTGGCCTCAGACACTTACTAGCTGTGTGACCCTGGGTAAGTCACTTAACCCTATTTGCCTCAGTTTCCTTATCTGTAAAATAAATTGGAGAAGGAAATGGCAAATCACTCCAGTGTCTTGGCCATTTTGCGCCCAAGTTTTGTTGTTCAGTCATTTCTGTAGGGTCCGATTCTTTGTGACCAAAGGGGTTAAGAAGAGTGGGGTGTGACTGAAATGACTCAATGACAAAGTTTGGGAACTGTCCCCTGAAGAGAAGCCAATCTTAGGCTGTGCCACAGTTTAGGTGCAACACCGATGAACTGGAGAAGGTGCTGATAGGAACCAGCAGGACCTTGAGTCTGGTCTGACACAAACTCCCCTCTTTGGTGTTTCACCTTCATAGCCAGGCTTGCAACTCCCTGCCCGGCATTGTTACACATGAGCACAGTAGGATCACAAATGGAGAGCTAGAAGGGCCCTCAGAGGCCATCCCTCGTGTTACATGTGAGGAAACTGAGACCCAGAGAAAAGAAGTAACTCACTCATGATCATCCAGCTAGTAGCAGCCAGTATGGGTGGGATTTAATCATTGTTCTAAACCTGGGAGCGGCCTCAGAGATCATTTAGTCCAACTGTCCTAATTTTATAGATGAGAAAACTGAGGCCTGGGGAGCTTAAGTGACTTACCCATGGTCACACAAGTGGTAAGTCTCAGAAATAGGATTTGAGGCCAGCCTGAATCCAGCCCTCTTCCTGGTGGACTATGTGGTCTCCTATCTCTACTATGCATGCTAGAGCCCAGCAGAAGTGACTTTCCCCACCCCCCCACCCCTGCCTCTATTTCTGTACTGCTCTCCCTACTCATCTCCATCTTTTAGAATCTCCAGCTTCCTCCAAAGCTCAGCTCAATTGCCACTGTCTACATGAGGCCTTCCTGATCATTCTGCCCACCCCAGGTGCTTCAGCTATCAATTACCTGGAATTTAATAAACAATAGTCACTAGTATTTGTATAACACTTGAAGGTTTGCAATGGACTTTACAAATATCCCATTTGATCCTCACAACAACCTTGGGAGGTGGGTGCTATTATTATGCCCATGTACAGATATGGAATTTGAGGCCAATAAAGACAGAGGTTAAGTGACTTGCCCAGGGTCACACAGCCAGTACATATATAAGGCAGGATTTGCACTCAGATTTTCTTGAAGCCAGATCCAGCGCTCTGTCATTGGGTCACTAGCTGCCTATGTTTGATATGTATGCATATGGACACATGTTTCTCAGGATAGAACAGAAGCCTCTTGAGGGCAGGGATTGCTTTGGTTGTTTTTGTTTTGTTTTGTTTGGCTTTCTGTCTTTATCTTATCTCTAGTGCCCAGAAGAACCCCTGTAGAGAGTTGGCTACTAAATACCTCCTAGTTGTTTGACTGGTCGATAGAACAAGGCATATTAAGCCCCGAGAAGAAAAGGCTTCATAGGGGCAGCTAAGTGTTGCAGTAGACAGAGCACCAGCCCTGATGTCAGGAGGACCTGAGTTCAAATCTGGTCTCAGACCAAACACTTGACACGTACTAGCTGTGTGACCCTGGGCAAGTCACTTAACCCCAATTGCCTTAAAAAAGAAAAGAAAAGAAAAGAAAAGAAAAGAAAAGAAAAGGCTTCATGCAGGACTTGGGAACCCTCCTCCAGGATTTGGAAGAATGTCATGTAGACAAGAACCAGTCATGTTCTGCTTGAACCCAAAGGGTAGAACCAGGAGCAATGAGGTGCCCAGGGCAGAACAAGGGTCCTGTCAATGAGAGCAGTCCCAGAGTGGAGGCTGCCTAGGGAGGTAGTGAGAATGCCATCCTTGGAGGTCTTCAAGCAGAAGCTGGAGGATTACTTCTCATTGAGGGTGTAGTGAAGACTCCTCTTCAGGGGTGGGTTCCACTAATTGTACTCTGGGTCCCTTCTGATGTTAAAATTCTGTAATTCACCCTCTCTCACTCCTAGGCCTTCATGAATAGCTTATCTCAGGCTATGGCCTTGGAATACCAGTCCTCTGGAGTCATCATACAGGTATGGATGTGGGTGTGAGTGTGAATGTGCTTGTGTGATTGTTAGGGCATGAAGAGATGGATGGGAAAGTCTGTGAGGAGATCAGAGATGGGAAGAGCTTGAGAAGAGGGCAAGCGGGCCAAGGGAATTGGGATTGGTGAGAGGCAGCAGGTTTGGTGAAATAACAGGAGGGTGGGGGCAAAGATGGGTGACCAGCTGAAGGGAAAGAAGCCTTTGGGAAGTGGGAAGAGTGAGAGCTATGACCCTTCCATTCAGTCATCAACTTCTTTCTCCAGACTCTTACTCCTCTGTTAGTTTCCAGCAACATTACCAAGATTCCACCCAGAAAATTCTTGGTGAAGTCTTCAGATGACTTTGTCAGAGAGGCCTTGGACACCGTAGGTGTCTCTAACTTCACCTCTGGGTGTTTCCTACACTCTGTCCACGTAAGTGACTGGGGTGCCCATTGGGTTGAACTAATAGGGAAGGTGTGCAGACCAACTCCTGGCCTGAGGGGTTGGCTAAGGAGGGAAGGAAGGATACTTTTACATGCCAGGAACTGTGCTAAAACCTTTACAAAGATCTCATATGTTCCTTACAACAACACTGGCAAGATAGGTGTTGTTATTATCCTCATTTTCCAGTTGAGGAAACTGCAGACAGATGTTCAGTGACTTGTCTGGCGTCACAGAGTGGTAAGTTTCTCAGGCTGGATTTGAACTGGGGTATTCCAGACTCCAGGTCCAGCGCTCTAGCCATTGTAACCTATTTGCACACACCTAGGTAAAAGTTGGATCTTTGGGGTGTGTGTGTGTGTGTGTGTGTGTGTATTGGGATGGTTTTTTTGAGCAAAGGTCACGGGCTTCAAGGAAGAATGGGAGGCATGAATGAAGTCAGATGTCTACCCCAGGTATAGTGTCATGGAAAGAACACTGGATTTGATTCAAAAGACCTAGGCTCAAATCCTAGCCTTGCCATTTACTGGACCCTCATCAGTCACCTTGCCCAGAGGATTTCTGACACATGGGAAAGAATACTGTATTAGGAAATTCCAGTGCTGGCTGTGAGGTCTTGAGCAAGTCACTGCATATCTCTGAGACTCAGTTTCTTCATCTGTAAAATTAGGGGGATGGCTCAAGGGCCTCCCTTCCAGCTCTAAATCTCTGATTCTAAGACCTAAATCTCCAGAATTCAATTTTTTTTCACTTGTGAACGGAGAGTAGCTTTGATCAGGTGATCTCCGTGGACCCTCACAGCTCTGAGTCCTCCTTTTGGAGAGGATGAACTCCTGGACCTGTGATTTCATGGGAGGTAGGGAACTCCTGGTGAGGACACTCCCTCTCCCAATACAGCTTGTCTGCAGTCTAGAGTTGTTGAGTTGGCTGGTGCAGTAAGAGGGTGCCACAGCCTGTCAGTATCAATGCTGGCCCATTGGCCCCTTAGCTTCTCAGCCACATTGATTGTGGAGGGCTCAGATGTTCTGAAAAGTCATCAGAGCAACCCCCCTCCTCCCTGGGTCTGATACTGAGTCTTGAGGCCTTGAAGGAAATGACTCCCACCAGACTTACAGATTGGAACCCATTCCCAGGTGCCAGTTGTCATAATACTAGACAGGACAATGGGAACTCACTTATCCAAAGCCCATCTGTCCAGCGACCTAAGACCTCAGCTTTTAAGGGGGTTCAATTTTAGGGCACATGACTCTCTAGAACTTGGTTGTCAGGAACCCAGCCAGTTCTATAAAATTCAATGATGTAGGATGTGGTTACCTAGAACCCACTGTAGGTAACTTTGATGTTTAGGGCTGTTATCAACAGCCTAGAGTGCAAGTATCTGGAACTTGGTGGCTACAAGTCAGCTCCCAAGAACTCTGTCCTTCAGAATTGAGGTCACTGGGCCTTAGTTATTTGGTATGCTGTTTTCTAGAAGTCATTGGTCCAGAACACAATCAAGAATGTGACAAGACCCCCAAAAAGAAACACCCTAGCTCCAAATGTGTCCATGTGCATGCAAGCTTCTGCATCTTTTTCAAAGAGAACCCATTGGGTATTTACTCTAAACCTATTGGCTCTTATTCAACACAATATTCTTACAATCCTGGTGCTATGATTCTCTAAGTCCAGAGAAGATTAGAATTAGCAGATTAGAGAAGCATGGACAACCCACCCACCCTCCCCAGAAGGAGATGGACTCAGGGTGCAGGCCCAGACCTCAGGTTGAGGACATGGCCAGTGTGGGATTTTGCTCTGCTTGACTAGCATACTTATTGCAAGGGCTTTTTTCTCCTCCTTTTTCAAGGGGGAAAGTGGGAAGGAGAGGAAATAGATTTAATTTAATTTTTTTAAAAGATTACATGGAGTTAACTAGAGAAGGGCAGGGTGATTGATGGAAGTAAGTGGCGGTAGCAAAAGACAGAAACACAAAAGACAACAATAAGGTTGGTTCCTGAAAGCTGACTTCTTCGAGATTAGGACGTTAGATAAATGGAGTCTGGATAGGTGAGTTCCCACTGTCCCATCTAATATTAGGGTGATGAAATGACTGCTAAGGAGTTGATCACTTGGTCTAGATTTTGCCTAGGGAGGCAGAGACTGGGTGAGCTCTTTTTTTTTTTTTTTAAAGGAAATTGGGGTTAAGTGACTTGCCCAGGGTCACACAGCTAGTAAGTGTCTGGAGTCACATTTGAACTGGAGTCCTCCCAACTTCACAATCCATCCTCTATTCATTGTGCCATCTAGCTGCCCTAGTGAGTCATTTTAGACAGCTTACTAAATGTTGGGTTTTTTTCAAAGGAGAAATAATTTTTGATGATATACTCTTAGACCATAGTGCTGGCAAGGATTAGCCTGACCACTTTGAATCCAGTTGCTTCATTTTACAGAATAGGAAGCTGAAGACCAGAAAGGGTCTGAGATGGAAAAGACATGGTGAAGCCTGAGTGTGTACGAGAAAGAGCTGGGGGTGTTAGTAGACCACAAGCTTAATATGAGTCAGCCATGTAATGGGTTGCCCCAAAAAGCTGTTCTTGGACCATGTAAAGTAGGGCAGCAGATTCCAAGTATAAGGAGATGGTAGTCTCACATACTTCATCAGGAGGCCTGTATTCAGTTCTGGGCTCCATGGTTTCAGAAGGACATTAGTGGACTGGAAAATTTCCAGTGATGGGCAGCCAGATAGGTGAAGGGTTTGGCATCCAGATGATATGATCAGCTGAGGGAACTGGTGGTATTCAATCTGGAGAAGACACAAGGGGTCATGATGGCTGTTTTCCAGTGCTTGCACGTGGGAAAGGAATTAGCCATGTTCTTTGGCCTCAGAGGGTAGAACTGGGAGCAGAGGGCTGGGGGTGGGGCAAGGGAAGAAGAGACTGGAAAGTGGCCAATTTTGGCCTGAGATGAAGACAAACTTCCTGAGGATCAGAGCCCTCCCAAAGGTCAGCGGGTTGCCTCGAGAGGCCAGTTCCCCTTCCTTGGAGGTCTTCAGACAGAGGCTGGAGGAACATCTGCTGGGTATGTTCTAGCGAAGATTCTGTTCCTGTAAGGGATGGAGTAAATGGCCTCCTGGGTAGACTGGAACCCCCAGGCCATCTGACTCTTTCCCCTTCACAGAACTGTCCACCCCAGTGCCAGGGTTCTGGAGCACAGAGGCTGAATTCTATTTATCCAGGACCTGCTATGTGCAAAGCCTTGAAGTGAACAGACTGTACTCGACAGCTGTCAGATAACACCAAACTGTTACAAACAGGAGGGACATAATTTGTACAGTGTTCAATGGTGAGGTTGCTACTGTATATGCCACAGGCCACCTCCCAGACAGTTATTTGTTAGCAGCATGAAGATTAGAACACAAGGTAACATCTCTCAATTCATGTAGCATAAATACATGGGGCAGCTAGGCGGCGCTGCATTGGGTAGAGCTCTGGGACTAGAGTCAGAAAGACTCATCTTCCTGAGCTCAAATCCAGCCTCAGACTCTTACTAGGTGTGTGATTCTGGGCAAGTCAC